CTGTTACCACCTAAATATAGAAACTTCTGCCTATACGAAAATCAGATGAAGATCTTATTCAAATTCAAGTTGACCATGATTAACAAAATTTAACCCGATTAAATTTGTACCTCTTAGCATGTTTTGCCAAATCCTGTACTAGGTCTAATTTTTATAGCATTGTTTAATCAATTTAGTACCTTGGACTGTTGTCTATGTACAGAGGCGATGCTCTAGGATGCAGATTCATAATAACTCTCAGGAAGCATCACCATAAAATTTTGGTCAATTTAGAGTTCTTAATGCTGGTTTTATGTCTACCTGATCCATTAATTCGTGCGGGTGTCGATAAACAAGTTTCGATGTGAAGCTAACTCCTATCCAGTATTTCTTCCAAGGTCTAAGGGAAGCAATTATTTATATTAACCACATGACAACTTAAAGTGGTATACCATGGTCATCTTTTTTCACAAAAAAAATAAACAAGAATTAAAGAGACAAAAAATTTGATTATGAAACAGCATTCATGTAACATATTAAAAAAGTCATGTTCAATGTGCAAAGAAAGAAATACTAGATTTATGAGGACATGAAAACAAATGAGATCAAAGACACATACCTGATGAAATAGCCATGCTCAGCAGCAATCCCTAGTTTTTCACATGAGGAGAACCACTCCCCGAGAGAACTCCGACCCCTCCCACTAACAATGAACACCGTATTGTTAGGATCACTGCACAGAGTATTCAGAAGCGAAACAATTTCTTCACTTGGAGTCTTATCCCTGTAAAACTCGGGCATTATAGTGCCATCATAATCCAAAAATATCGCCCTCCTTTTAGCTCTCTTATAGAAAGACACAGTTTCATCAATCGACAACTCATCAAAACTGGGCGAAAGAGCAACAACTTTGACATCCAAACCAAAGCCAAGGGTACAGCATCTTCTGTTTCGGTTATCTTCACAAGCCTTTTTAAGATCTTGAGCAAAACAGCAGGTCCAATAGCTGAGCTGGTGAGAGCTCACATAGTCGTAGTGCTTCTCGTGACGAAACTTCTTCTCGCTTTCAGACATCCCAGCTGAAAGATACATAGCCTCAGCTACATCCTCAACACTCCAAGGGTTCACCCTGAATGTTCCACTTAGGGACAGAGAACAACCGACAAACTCTGACACAATAAGAGTACTAGTACTGTTTCCTTGCCTACAAACAACATACTCATACGGAACTAAATTCATCCCTTCCCTAAGAGCATTCACAATGCAACACTCAGATACCACATAGAATGCGACTCTTTCATAGAAAGGAATTGAGTGTTCGATAAAGACAACTGGTTGATAACCTTGGATACCATAAGTATTGTTGATTCTTTCAGCAATCGACATTGCTTCAGTTCTAGATTCCATCACACCTTTTCCTGCACTACGAGCAGGATTGGCAATCTGAACAAGGACTAAATTTCCTCTAAGCTCAGGATTTCTCTGCAGCACAAGCTCCAGAGCTAGCAATTTCAGACTGATACCTTTGAAAGCTTCCATGTAATCAACTCCCAAAAACAATTTCTTGCCCTTGAACTTTTCCTTGATTTCTTCAACCTTTGAAATGGTACAAGGCAAATTCATTACAGACTTAATCCGCCCCACATGAACTCCTACCGGAAGAACCCTAATTCTAACTGTTCGTCCATAATAATTAATCCCAATAGAACCATGCTTCAGTTCATGATCCAGGCCTAGTATTCTGCTGCAACAAGAAAGGAAATGCCTTGCATAATCAAATGTGTGGAAACCAACAACATCAGCATTTAGTAAACCCCTGAGGATTTCCTCTCTAACAGGTAGGGCCTTATAAACTTCTGAGGATGGAAATGGGATATAGAGAAAGACACCGAGCTTGACTTGGCTTACCTTCTTCCTTAACAAAATCGGAAGAAGCATTAGATGATAATCATGAACCCAGACATAGTCATCATCAGGATTTATTACCTCAATGATCTTTTCGGCAAAAGTGGTATTTGCAGAGACATAAGCTTGGAAAAGGGAGCGGTCGAAGAGATTACCATCCTTTGGAGTGAAGGGCAGAGAATAATGAAATAGTGGCCATAATTGTCCTTTACAGAATCCATGGTAGAATTTTTCTTGGAGATCATGATCAATGAACGTTGGCACACACCTGTAATCTTTCCAGAGATTTTGTGCAACTCGTTCTTGTTCGCTTATGTCAATATCTACCATAAGGCTGCCGATGTATATAACTTCGGTCTTATAAGAAAAATCATCCTTCATTTGGAGTAGCAGTGAGTCCTCATCCCATGAAAAGGAATATTGACCGGTTGTTTCGTCCTTGCAAGAACGAAGGGGAAGAAAATTTGCAACCATAATCATTCGCTTTGTATCAGAATTCACATGACTCCTCCTAGCATCACTAGAATTGGGAAGTATATTATCGGACTGCACGCTTAATTTGTAAGCATCTGATTCTGATACCATGATTGCCTATGAATCTTTATTGACTATGAGCACTGAATTGTAAGAAAGAATATTTTAATTTTGATGGACTAAGTCTCCTTTTTCTTCAGGAAGAAAATCACCTGAAACAGGAATACGAGACAAGTTTTAAAAACTGATACAAGTCGGCTGTTAAAGAATTATCATAACTTTTGCATTATACCCATAAAAAAAATCAAACGTTTGAATCATATCCCTGCTTTAACTGGGGAATGCTAGAAAAGGTATGTATTTAGGAAAGAATAAATTTACAGATACCACAATAGTACTTACATATTTGTGACATGGCCTAGTGATTTTAAGGTATGGTCTACTATCATAGAGTAGTGAAGATTGTACAAAAATAAAGCAGCTTGCAGCATAATTTACATGAAAATATTTATTAGTTCTTTTGTTATACATAATGCTACACAATTCATGCTCATGAATCCAGCGATTTTTTAGTGCATATTGCCCATAGGGATAGTCTAAACAGATAATCAAAACACAATTAACACGACATTCTTTTAGTATAGGTGTGAAAGACTTTAACTAAGCTTCACTGATTGAATAACAAAGTTTTTTTATCGTTAATTTTGAAGATATAATTGTATTTTCTTCTTAGAGATATAATTATATTTTCTTCTCATCTAAACTCTCAACCTGGCTGGCAATTTATGCCAAACCAACAATGTAGATCACACCAACTTTCTTTTGTGATGTGGCAAAAATTATTGGCAAAAGCAAAAAAAGTTTGCAGGATTAGAAAAAAAACACCTCAATGTTATAGCTGAACAAACTAGGTAGAAAAATATAGGTCTTTAATTGAGCTTGACAGACTGATTGTTAGAAAGGGGTGTAGATCAAACCTCAATTCCGGCGAGGAGCTCCGGCGAAGCTCCGACGAGCTTGAGGATCATGCAGGCGAGCGTGGACGTCGACTCAGGCGAAGTCGACGGCGAACTGCAGGCGCAGTTTCAGGTGGAGCTCGAGCAGGCGAGCTCAAATTGTGGGAAACGCGACCCTCGCGTTTGGGAAATTCGACCCTCGCGTTTCAGACACCGACCCTCGCGTTTGGGACACCGACCCTCGCGTCCAAGCTCTGATGTCCGCGTTTTGGCGCTCCGACGTCCGCGTCTTCGCGTGGCTAGCGACAGGCTGTCGCCAGCCTGTCATGTTTGCTTATATAAACCCCTCGTCGCCCTAGGATTTTGTTGTTGCTTCTTCTCCTCTGATTTCTCTCTGGCGGCGGCACCAAAATAACGCAGCAGCGTTCCTTCTCAAACCTTGAAATCGCAGCAGCGATTTTGGTTCTTCATCTCCAGGTCTCAACCGTGCATTGAGGGGAGATTAAGAAAGGATTTTAGAGAGAGAGAGAGAGAATTAAGGGTTTATTCCCTTTAATTATTAACACTGTAGCTACAGTGTTCATCTTTAAGAAATCTCAGTTTTGGGATTTGCTCTTGATTTGTAATTTCTTATTTGATTAATAAGAAATTGACTGTGTGGCTCCCGAGGACGTAGGCAGTTGCCGAACCTCGTAAAACTTGGTGTACTTTTTCTATTCTGCGTTTCTGTTGCATTAGGGATTTAGGCGTTTGCCGAACCTCGTAAAACTTGGTGTACTTTTTCTATTCTGCGTTTCTGTTGCATTAGGGATTTAGGCGTTTAAATTCCCAACAACTGGTATCAGAGCGTGAAACGATATAGAGGAAGTCAGATTCAAGTGGGAGCCATGGCCGCAGATGAAGGAAAAATAAGACTTGAGAAATTTGATGGAACATATTTCGGATTCTGAAAAATACAGATAGAGGATTATCTGTATCAGAAAAATCTGTATCAACCACTATCGGGGAAGAAGCCGGATTCTATGAAGGCAGATGAATGGAGCCTTCTAGATAGACAAGCCCTCGGAGTTATCAGATTGACGTTGAATCGCAATGTTGCGTTCAACATAGCGAAGGAGAAGACCACGACAGGTCTTATGGCAGCACTCTCAAACATGTATGAGAAGCCATCAGCCGCGAACAAAGTTCATTTAATACGGCGGTTATTCAATCTGAAAATGGCGGAAGGCGCGTCAGTAGCACAACACCTCAATGAACTTAATACGGTTATAACCCAATTGAGTTCAGTTGAAATTGAGTTTGATGAAGAAGTTCGGGCGTTGATACTTTTGTCTTCCCTGCCAGAGAGTTGGAATGCTACAGTCACAGCTGTGAGTAGCTCGTCGGGAAAGAAAAAGTTAATGTTCGACGACGTTCGTGATTTGGTTCTCAGTGAGGAGATCCGACGGAGAGAGACGGGTGAAGTTACAACCTCTTCAGTATTGCATACAGAGTCAAGAGGTAGAAATTCAACCAGAGGAAACGGACGGAGCAAATCAAACTTCAGAGGTAGATCAAAGAACAGGAGGTCCAAGTCAAGGAATCCAAGCAACAGCACGAAGGCTATCGAGTGTTGGAATTATGGAAAGACCGGGCATTACAAGAATCAGTGTAAGAGTGCACAGAAGGATAAGGAGGCGAAGGCAGAGGTGAATGTCACATCCACCTCAGGAGGAGACGACGCATTGATATACTCTTTGGAGAGCAAGGAGGAATCTTGGGTGTTAGATTCAGGAGCGTCGTTCCATGCTACTTCTCAGAAAGAATTCTTCGAGAAGTATACCCCCGGAAATCTTGGATACGTGTATCTTGGTGATGATCAACCATGTGCTATTGTGGGCAAAGGCGTGGTGAAAATTAAGTTGAACGGGTCTGTATGGGAGCTGAAAGATGTCAGGCATATTCCCGACCTGAGAAAGAATTTAATATCCGTAAGTCAGTTGGCTGGCGAAGGATATACCACGACCTTCCATGGAGATGATTGGAAGATCTCAAAGGGCGCAATGACGATTGCACGAGGCAGGAAGACTGGTACCCTATATATGACAGCAGGTACACGTTGTTTGATCTCAGTTGCAGCAGGCAATGAAACTTCAAAGCTGTGGCACCAGAGACTCGGTCATATGAGTGAAAAGGGGATGAAGATCATGCACACAAAGAAAAAACTCACAGGACTGCAGTCAGTGGAGATGGATATGTGTGAAGAATGTATACTTGGAAAGCAGAAGAGAGTCAGCTTTCAGATAAGTGGCAGAACCCTCAGGAAGCAGAAGCTAGAGCTCGTTCACTCAGATGTGTGGGGACCTTCAACCACCGCGTCCATTGGTAGAAAACACTACTTCGTGACTTTTATCGATGATCACTCTCGGAAAGTGTGGGTCTACTTTCTGAAGCATAAGTCAGAAGTATTTGAGGCTTTTAGGAGATGGAAAGCTATGGTCGAGAATGAGACCGGTTCAGGACCGACAATGACGGTGAATATGAAGACACCGGATTCAAGAAGTTCTGCTATGAGCACGGGATCAGAATGGAGAGAACCGTGCCCGGCACGCCTCAGCAAAATGGTGTAGCTGAGCGGATGAACCGAACGTTGACGGAAAGAGCCAGAAGCATTCGAGTACAGTCAGGCCTACCGAAACAGTTCTGGGCAGAAGCGGTCAACACAACAGCTTACTTGATCAACCGAGGTCCATCGGTTCCATTGGAGCACAGAATACCAGATGAGGTATGGTGCGGAAAGGAGGTAAAACTCTCACATCTAAAAGTTTTCGGTTGTGTAGCTTACGTGCATATTAGTGATCAAGGCAGGAATAAGCTTGATCCCAAGTCAAAGAAATACACTTTCATCGGTTATGGTGAAGATGAGTTCGGCTACCGTATTTGGGACAACGAAAACAAGAAGCTGATCAGGAGCAGAGATATGATATTCAACGAGAAGGTGATGTACAAGGACATGCACAAGACAGATGACTCAGAGAGCGAGTCAATATTTGTAGATGCAGATGATGTCCCGAGTAACCTCTCGGAAGAACCCAATGCAGAGGATCCTCAGCAAGAAGAGCCTGTTGGACAAGATGGTGCGCAGGAGCCCGACGCACCAGCTCCGATATTAAGAAGATCTTCTCGTCCTCCTGTACCCAACAGGAGATACATGAACTATCTGTTGTTGACAGATGGTGGGGAGCCTGAAAGCTTTGATGAAGCTTGTCAGTGTGGAGATGCGAGCAAGTGGGAGCTTGCCATGAAAGATGAGATGAAGTCTCTCATCTCAAACCAGACGTGGGAACTAGCTGAGTTACCCACGGGTAAGAAGGCACTCCACAACAAATGGGTGTACCGGGTGAAAGAGGAGCAGGATGGTTCCAGAAGATATAAAACCCGACTAGTTGTCAAAGGTTTCCAGCAGAAGAAAGGAATTAACTATACCGATATTTTCACTCCCGTGGTAAAGCTAAATACTATCAGGACCGTGATGAGTATTGTAGCAATTGAAGATCTTCATCTCGAACAGTTAGACATGAAGACGGCGTTTCTTCACGGAGATCTAGAAGAGGAGATATACATGCACCAGCCAGAAGGTTTCTCAGAAGAAAAAAAGAAGAACCTGGTGTGTAGACTCAAGAAGAGCTTGTATGGCCTGAAACAAGCCCCAAGACAGTGGTACAAGAAGTTTGACGACTTCATGCACAAGGAAGGTTTCCAGAAGTGCAACGCCGACCACTGTTGCTACTTCAAAAGATATCAGTCCAGCTATATCATCCTACTGCTGTATGTTGATGATATGTTGGTTGCAGGAGCAGATATGAAAGATATCAAGAGTTTGAAGCAGCAGCTGTCAAAGGAGTTTGACATGAAGGACTTGGGTCCAGCGAAGAAGATCCTTGGAATGCAAATCACGAGAGATAAGAAGAGAGGTCTCTTGCAGTTATCTCAGACGGAGTACATCAACCGTGTTTTGCAAAGATTCAACATGGGCGACGCCAAACCTGTGAGCACACCCTTGGCCAGCCATTTTCATCTATCTAAGGATCAGTCTTCTCAATCAGAAGAAGAGAAAGAGAGTATGGCTCAGGTTCCTTACGCCTCAGCTATCAGAAGTTTGATGTACGCAATGGTCTGTACGAGACCAGATATTGGCCATGCAGTGGGAGTGGTCAGCCGGTTTATGTCGAATCCAGGAAAAGCTCATTGGGAAGCGGTCAAGTGGATTCTGAGATATCTACGAGGCACCACACAGAAGTATTTGCACTTTGATAAGGGAAATGTGGAAGTGCAAGGGTACGTAGATGCAGACTTCGGCGGTGAAGTTGATCACCGAAGAAGCACCACCGGCTATGTATTCACCGTTGGAACTACAGCTGTTAGTTGGATGTCACAGGTACAGAAGATCGTTACCCTATCAACTACAGAAGCTGAGTATGTTGCAGTGACTGAAGCCAGTAAAGAGATGATATGGCTTCAGGGTTTGTTGACAGAGCTGAGATTTAAACAGGAGAAGAATATTTTGCACAGTGATAGCCAGAGTGCGATAAACTTGACGAAGAATTCAGCATTTTATTCTAGAACGAAGCATATTGCGCTTCGGTACCACTTCATCAGATCCCTGTTGGAAGATGACGTGTTGAAACTGGAAAAGATTCCAGGAAGTAAAAATCCAGCAGACATGTTAACCAAGACGGTGACAGTTCAGAAACTGGAGTTGTGCGCAACTTCAGTTGGCCTTCATGCATAGATGATGAGGGCGGAGCCAAACAGTAGAGGAGCTTGATGAGATAGCCCGTTGACGGCGGTTTGATCTCCAAGTGGGAGATTGTTAGAAAGGGGTGTAGATCAAACCTCAATTCCGGCGAGGAGCTCCGGCGAAGCTCCGACGAGCTTGAGGATCATGCAGGCGAGCGTGGACGTCGACTCAGGCGAAGTCGACGGCGAACTGCAGGCGCAGTTTCAGGTGGAGCTCGAGCAGGCGAGCTCAAATTGTGGGAAACGCGACCCTCGCGTTTGGGAAATTCGACCCTCGCGTTTCAGACACCGACCCTCGCGTTTGGGACACCGACCCTCGCGTCCAAGCTCTGACGTCCGCGTTTTGGCGCTCCGACGTCCGCGTCTTCGCGTGGCTGGCGACAGGCTGTCGCCAGCCTGTCATGTTTGCTTATATAAACCCCTCGTCGCCCTAGGGTTTTGTTGTTGCTTCTCCTCCTCTGATTTCTCTCTGGCGGCGGCACCAAAATAACGCAGCAGCGTTCCTTCTCAAACCTTGAAATCGCAGCAGCGATTTTGGTTCTTCATCTCCAGCTCTCAACCGTGCATTGAGGGGAGATTAAGAAAGGATTTTAGAGAGAGAGAATTGAAAGGGTTTATTCCCTTTAATTATTAACACTTTAGCTACAGTGTTCATCTTTGAGAAATCTCAGTTTTGGGATTTGCTTTTGATTTGTAATTTCTTGTTTGATTAATAAGAAATTGACCTTTGAGAAATCTCAGTTTTGGGATTTGCTTTTGATTTGTAATTTCTTGTTTGATTAATAAGAAATTGACTGTGTGGCTCCCGAGGACGTAGGCAGTAATTTCTTGTTTGATTAATAAGAAATTGACTGTGTGGCTCCCGAGGACGTAGGCAGTTGCCGAACCTGGTAAATCTTGGTGTACTTTTTCTATTCTGCGTTTCTGTTGCATTAGGGATTTAGGCGTTTAAATTCCCAACACTGATAACCAATTGCGTTTAATTAAAAAATGCTCACGATCTAATGGCATTTTCTTTTGATCCAAAATCTCAAGTTGTCAGTTAATAGGTCCACCTTTTCTTTTGATCGAAAATCTCAAGTTGTCAGCTAATAGGTTTACAGTATGTGCCAAACCAACAATTTAGACATTCGTATTCTATATGGTGATAAAACTATTGGCAAATGTGTAAAGTTTACAATCAAAAAACATTGCATAAAGTGCATCATTTCAAATATCGCAATTGCACAAGTCTTTTCAGATATTT